GAATGCTGATTTGATTAATTATTACAATGTCGTCATTTTCTTAATCGGAATTTTTATTGTTATTTCTCTAATTTAAAACTTAATCATATTAAGGATCATTCGAATATTATGTAAGTGCGTTGTGAGAAAAGAATTTCGAATTTTCCTAATTTTTGTATTAATGTTAATGAATGTTATGTTCTAACTTTATCGTAAAAATTACAAAATACTTAATGCTTGATTGAAACGTTCATTAAAAAGACAGTGTACTACTTGATTGTTTTTTTTTTCTTAATATCTTCATATTCTAACGAAGTTTCAGATAAAAAGAATTCGAACTTTTTAACAAAATCTTAGAAACTTGTGTGTTCTTCCTCTTAAACTGGAAATATCTTCCAGATTCTTCCATCATCATTATCTTTTCTTCACCTGAAACAGATCATACTTTTCGTCTATTTGAACCTACTTTGTCTTCTTTTCCTGCTTAACCATTTGTCATAAATACAATCTGTTCTTCTCCCCTACTGCCACTTCTTCCTTAATGTACATATTCGTGACCCTCAAATTCCCCTTGTTTTTCAATATCTTCATTTTTTGTTCTAACCTTATTTCTTATTTCAATTTCACTCTCCAAGCTCCTAATCTTCTTTCTTTCACCTTCCTGATTCTCGTCAACATCCCTTATTTCCTTTTTGACCGTAACATCATTTTCAATTTATTCTTTATCTTCAACCATTCTATGCAGCTATATAGACATTCTCTTTTCACATTACAAATTTTATTAAAAGTCATCCTATGCCCACATTCTTCTCTTTCATCTTTTTTATAACATTTTTCAAATTTCTTTCCTTTACCTTTTTTTATTCTTTCTTGGTTTACATTATTCGTTCAACTGTGATTTCTTTCCTGTCTTCAACCCTTTTAAAGACTTTGTAATTTATATTATTTGTGCTTTGGAAGTGACGACTAACTGAAAATTTCGCACTGATATGGAGATACATCTTCCTGTTTTATTTTCCCCGTAGTGTGAAAAAATTGAAAAACTAAATTAAACGGAAAAATTGGCAGTTAATTTTAAGTACGAGATGCATGTCTCTTTCAAAACCAAAAACGACCATCTGCTGAGGTCATCTTCCAGCTTCCCAACCCATTTCGTAACAACTATAATTTACTGGGTATTGTGCGAAGAGATGTTTAGGGGATGAGAGACGTTTACGCCCCAATCTTTTCATGGGAGTACATCAGCTGTTCGTTAAAATATGAGGTTTGAAATCCGCTTGAAAGGCAACATATGAATTTGTCTGGTATGCAGCCAAACAATGATAAAATTCACATCTGGCAAGCGTATAGGTCATGCAAGAGTTGCACCCACCGGAAACGAGACGAGCGGTATGTCCATTGTACACTCTCAAGACATTTGATGATACTCAGCTTGTTAACAAGAGCGGAATGGTTATTATTCAGTTGGCAAACCTAAAACCATTAGGCACACAGAAACACTGATATTGCACTCGAACGCGATTGTTCTTTGGTCATTAGACCTGAAAGGTAATGTACATAAATAATCTTTACTTGCCATTTTTATCGCTACCGTTTTCCGTTTTGAGAAAAATATGAATGGGCTGTTGGAGAGATCAATGAAAAATTTACAGGAAAAACGCAACAGTTTCGCACCGTTTTGTCGGCAAATACTATAACATTATGCTAAAACATTCATTGTTGATGGAAAAGTGGTGTTATTGTGATAGAGTCAAGTTTTGTTGCGTAAACGTTTTCATAATATTGTAATCCTGCTGCAAGTGAATTTGTGGTTGGATTTGCACGTAAAGGGAAAGTTTAAGTAGAAAATTAGATCAGACAAAATACAGCTTGCAGAATTAATTGAAAGTATTTTTTCGTTTAAACAACTTAATTGAAATTTGCATCAAGGTTCAGCCGCCACTGTTGTGATCTGTTAAATGGGAGGAGCTTAAAAAACATGGTGCTGAAAAGGGAAAAATACCATATCGAAGATGTGTGCATGTAAAACCAACTTAGGGAAACGTTGCAAACATATCATATCATTGCAACAGGTATGTTTTTAATTCCTCACCTTCAAAAATCACTTCTTGAATACTATTTGGTTTTGCTTTTCTAGTTTTCCAAAGATGATTTTTATATATACCTACATAAAATAGTTAATTTTCATTCGCAAATAATGAATACACACTTCAAAGTCTATGTTGGAGGTGCTATTACAGCATCTTTCTATAAAGATCAACTAACAACTTTTTATTCGATTTCATACTAAGAGAAACTTTGAGAACGCAGATAGCATTTTTTTTTTAATTAATTTAACAGCACGGTATCCGGAAAAACCACTTTGAAGTGCTTGTCTAATGAAAAAGCTTTAGGTATATTGCTATTATGTGTAACTGTTACATACAGTAAATTATATGATCTTTTAATAAATTTGTACAAGGGATGTGTTTGTGTTTTCTTGTAAACTCTGACAACCGGCATTATTTTTTAAATGGATTCTAAGATAAGAAGTAAATAAGAAAAAAATAGTAGGTACTAAAAATCAAGTCAGTTTTTTTCGTTTATCAACAATGACAGGACGAATATTTGCAGATGAAATAGTAGTATCTAGTAAGCCTTAAATAAAATGAAAGTAGTATTAACAAAATAGTAATGTATGAAAATAAATAAAACCAAAACAAAAATATTAGTACGCAAGGGTAAAAAGGGATCAAAAAAATAAGAGATGAAAAATTAAAAGAAGTCGCTAATTTTCGACATTTAGGAAGTCGGATAATTCAGGATGGAAGGAGCAGTAGAGATACAAAATAAAGGATTGCGTAGGATCGAGTCGCCTTTAACAAAAAGAAGTCACTTCTGTGCTCGCGAACCGTTAATTTACAAATTCGAAAAAGATTGTTGAAGAAGAATGTCTGGAGCGCAAAACCGTAATGGCTAGAATCCTTAGGAATGTTGAGTTAGAGGCAAATGATGAGAGTACCGTGGATAGAGGAGGCTATAAATGAGGAGGTATTAGAAAGAGTAGGAAAACAGCGCGCTGTGGATGTTAATAAGAAATAGGCGAGGTAGGTAGGACACCTTCTCAAGAATAAAGGCTACTTGGAAACTTATAAGAAGCAAAAGCAGGAGTTAAAAGGAGTAGAGACCTACATTAGATTACTGTTCACCAATAGATATTAAAAATGGAGAATGTACTAGTTTATTATAATAGTTCTACTTTGCTACTCCAAATAAAGACATTTTGTGTGCTACGTTTTGGTTTCCTGAGAAAACGCATCACACATTAGATGTGGTCGTGAAAGCTTACACAAATATATTAAATACGTTTTTTTCATAAATACTTATGTAAGTATTAATAAAAACATAATAAGTGCATTTGTAAGTGCTCCTAAAGTTGATTGTAGAGTCTAGACATTATTCTTGAAAATGTAGAAATGATTCACTAATTAAAACCTGTCATATATTTTATTCATTAGTCCATCAATTCAAATTGTACAGACATCAAAGGTTTGTCTACACAATGATGCATAATAAATTACCCATTATCTATGTGTTATCAATTAATTAAAANTTACCTTTGTCCCCCATTTTAATTGGAAAAGAGACACTGATGCCAAAATAGTTTGTTTACCGTGAAAGATCAGAGCCAAAATAGGGTTGCAAATAATTTTATTTATGTAAAATCAACATCAATCATTTTATATTAAAATATTTACAACCCCATTGTGTTTCCGATCTTTTACACATCGTAATAAGTGAAAGAAATGGAATCCATAGTTTCTTTACTTTTGGGTTCATCTAATAGTGAAGTTTTTCGAATCATTTTCTAAGAATTTTGGATTATAGGCATTTATTAGCACACCACACTATCTTATAGTTTTCAGTTTTACACAGCTATCGATATTCGATATCGTTTTGGGAGCTGTTTTGCCGTAATTCATAGAATTTCGTAGTTCCTTGCTGAAGGTACGATAAGTGGTGATTTGGCAGGTGCTGATATCAATTAGGAACAAAATTCTACGGACCATGACAATGAACCCGGAAACCAATATCGATCCAATATTTTAGATTATACATTTTCAAGGAGTTTAGAGTTTTTTGGGCTCTTTTCAGGTAAAGAATTAGAAGGCATTCATGGAATGCCTCTTTGCGCTATCTTTAAGCTTCTAATACCTTCAATCGCCAATGTGACCAACTTTCATTCATCATTTTATACATTTAACTGGTAATACTAGCGTATTTTGCGTTTTACAAATAGAAAATACGCTTGGAAAAGTATTTTAAATAAAATACAAATGCTTTTCTCAAAAAAATATTTAAATTTACGATAAAAATAAGTATTTTTTATTTTGGATTTACATTTTAAATGCAAGTATTTCAAATAAATCCAATCTCTGATGATCAGAACAATAAAAAGTTTAAAGAATTGCGTGCACATTTTGCTTAATTTACTCAACGGAAACCAATTACATACTTTTATAAATCAGCAGCCTTTTTAAAATGTTTCTGCTAATGTTCGTGCATGTATAAAAAAAACGAGCAAGTGATAACATTTATTAAAGGAGCTTATCGTCAGTGTAAACCATTGTTAATGCGTTTGTAAGAGGCTTCAAAAAAATAAGATTGCTATATCACATTATTTATCTCAAGCATGCGGAAGTAAGTGAAATTAAAAACCGTAAGTAATATCTTAAAACCATTATGGGATAAATTTGCCTCGCTCAACGAGTGTGCATTAAGNCTTGAAACTATTAGGATTTTCTAAAAATTAAGATAACTTAAGGACATAATTTACTTATCTTTGTCAAGCTTTTTCTACTTACTCTTCTTTTTTTCAATATAAATTGTATCTAGGTATCAATTAGCTAAATGTTGTAGCTGAATCTCTATAAAAATAACCCGGGTTTATTTGCTTGATCGCACGGGTAGCGCATATTTATATGTATATAGGTGGAATAACAAACATTAGTCAAGGATGTGTACGATTTTAGGTTACTTACCTCCAAAGTTTCACCTGTAAATTCTTTGTTACAAAAGTCGCACCTGGCTCGTCGTAGCGGACATGTGTACTTAAGATGGTCCTCCATAAGAACACGCGGAATCTGTGCTCCACATTTGCTGGTACATGGCAAGGCATCATGCTTGCAGGTATTTAGGTGAGCCTGTAAACGACAAAAGAGAAAGAAAATCAAATTAAGACCGTCTACCGCTTACAAATAAACGAGAAATATGTACCTACATGACACTGACTTCCTTCACCTAGCTAACGTACTAGATTGTTGCTTATTACTTAAGCTAATAAACGTGAACGTACTTAAAATAGTTATCATACCACCCTATAGAAGGTCACAAGGTGTTCATAAAGACAGGAAATGAATAAATACCCATCTCGAAAAATAAACTTTGGATTGGATAATCTGATATTTATGAGAAGGCTATCAAATGATGCCAAAATTGATCCCCCCCTCCCCATCTCATGTGAAAGGGGTAAATTTGAAATCTTCAATCGCTTTTGATTGCAGATTCACAGGTTACGCTAAAAACTGCGTATCTTTTAGAAAATACTACAAATGGGGCAGTAAACGCCATCTGTAGCACGATGCTACATTTTAGGATTACGTATGCTCCAACAAAGTCCACTTGTGTGGATATCTACTTGCTGAAAACCAACGTGATAGGCACGTTAGCTTAATCGAATAAAATAATTCGAAATGGTCTATATTCTGCCGAAACTGCCAGACGCCGATCGCGATTTCGATCTTTTTGGATCAGACAGCAAGTAAAAGTTGGTCTGTGTTCTGTCGAGCTGCCTGCGAGGCGCTGATGAGATCCAAGAAGATCTAAATCACGATCGGCGTCTGGCTGTTTCGACAGAATACAGACCATTTCTAATTATTTTATGCGTATCTTTTGTTTGAAACATTTTTTTCAACTGTTAGCAAATGATAATGAAGTTCAATCTTTTAAGATTTTTCAATTGGATTCTGTAATAAAATTGAGATGGGAATTTATATTTTTTTCACGAGTCAGGTGCCAAGTAGAGCACACATGGATAAACATCAATGAAAACTTAATTGAACATTCAACTTGTTATCTCTAATTATTTACAACGTTTATTTATTGTTAATTACAATTCCTACTGCAACAAAAAAATATTAGATTCGATTTCGTTGTAGGTTTCGGATTGATGTACGCTCGGAAATATATACTTATTCTAAATATATAATTCTGTCCTAAATTCAACGAACAAAAAGAAGAGTTTTGGATATCATTGAACTTTTAGAGGTTTCATAAATAAATTATAGATTCTGTTACATCCAAATTAGTTTTCCTTCGAAATTATAATGAACAAATCACTGATTTATAAAAACGTAATTTTCCGCAGAAATAGCTTTTTAAATGGACTAAACTAAGTATACGAAGTATTACAAAATTAGCTTAAAACATATAAAATGAAATTACAAGAAAAAAGGTTAAAGATGTAATAATTTACAAACAGTTTAACCAAAAATCCCAAAATAAAACTATCCGGATAATGTTGCACATAACTCAGCTACTTATATTTTACTCTCATACTTCCTGCTCGATTCGATGAGTATTTAAAAGTAAAAATTTAAACAAAATAAATGATTTTAGTGTTTAGTACAAGTACCTATTAAATATGTCATTAAACTAACTTGTAAAAAGTATTCTATATGATCTTTTTTCATCGTAAAATAGTAAAGTTAATTGACTTCCTTACATCATCACTTGTACAAAATTATTGCAGCCACTATTTTATTTTACATTGAGATTTTAATATAAATCGCAGTGTGTATTTAGCCTGAGGGTGGTTTAAACCTATGAAGTCACGATAAAGAAAGGAACTGAAATTTCGCTTGTGCGGAAAGGTGTAAGACATACACTTAGTAATGTGTAATTTGTGATAACACTTCCGAAAAACCTTGATGAATATAGCTAGACATACAAATAATGAAATGATGCATGTGATGATGACTATTAGGTGTAGGAGTTACGTAAATTTTAAATACTCAGCAAGCATTTTACACATGATCAGATCTCTTACCTTTAGTTTTCGCAATTCATCCGACCACTTGCATCCTTCTTTGTGATGAATGCAATAAACTACAGAACTCATTATTGCCTTTTCAGACTCGGGATCTGGGTATATCTGAAATAAAAAGATAATAAATTGAAAACTTTAAAGTAAAACACTTTTACTTAATTAAATTACATCATATAATTTAATAAAACTGATAGTATCTAGGCATAAACAGTAACTAATAAAATATCAGAAAAAAGTATAGCAATTTTTTTAATTTAGTTTTTTACCTTAAATGTAAATTCATTAGGACATTCCATTTTTATATCTAACTTCACATAAAATCAACTGTTATCTTTAATTATTAATTCGTTTAGCATTACTATTTATTTTCAACAGTGTACATGCTCACTGTTAGAAATTCAAAAACAAACTGCGTCAAAACGTAATAAGCCGAAAGAATAACAAAGGAAGCCCAAAGGTCCTAAGTCCCAAAATGAAGGATAATCCAAAACATGTGTGAGTCAGTCGTAATAAACTAGCTTGGCTTTTGGGTCATCCCTTAAAAATTACGATTCGTTTTACTATCCGCACATCTGCAGAATTCGAAATTTAAAGTGCATCCGTAAAAGGTGGTCAACAATAAACCCATAAATACAAATGTCAATTTTCAGTTCAAATAAATTCGGTTACCGCCTCCAAAGAAAACAGCTTAATAACTGTGAAGTCACTGAATACAGCCCTAAACTCCTTGAAAGGTCTTCTTGAAGTTACCACCCAACGACAAGCATATTTATTGTTTAGTCTTCAAATACAATAAAATAAATCATTCATCTATTTATTGTTACCTGCTCATAATTGAGATTTACACGACTTTTTAAAAAAAACTAATTTACCTTTCCACTACTAAAATCTGTAAATACAGAAGTAAAATGACTTCATTATGTGTGTTCCAGTACTCATGATCAGTAGAGGTGTACAATTTTTTTTTTTTAAAGTATTTAAATACAAAATGCAAATACATTTTTGATTTGTTATTTCGAATGTAAAATATAAAATAGATTTTCTTTTTGTATTTTAAGCCCTAATTACAAAACACGTATTTTCAAATTTTCCAACTAAATACTTTTTTGTAGTACCTACTTAATTTTCTACAATTACTTAAATATAAAATATTTTTTAAGAAAACTTTGCAGACATTTGCTCATTTTTTAAATATTGGAGTTTTTCTAGACTAGTAGTGGCTTTTGCACTATATTACCAACTGCGAAGATTGAGTATGATTTATATTTTTCTGTTTGAAGTAATTGAGATATAGTTTTTCTATCTTTATGTTATAGTTTCTTCAGTT